TTCTGATTGAAAGGGACAAAATTAGAGTGTCGCGATTCATGCTTGGAAATTTTTGCTTCAAATCGGGCCAACTTTGTTTGGGACCGTGCAAGCCTGAATCCTAATAGAGACAAATTCAAGATGGCGACGTGAAGTCAGACGAACTACGGCTGATTATAACGGCATTGAAGAGGAGTGAAAACATCTGGAATTGCAATTCAAACCGATAACTGAAATGAAGACAAGTTAAATTATTCATACAATAATATTTCAACACAGTAGACATCATGTCATTTAGAGCAGGAGCTCTGTTCTGTATATCGATTATCGTACCAATTATCCATCTCTTTAGTAACAACTAAGTTTCTAAATGCCTTCTTTAAGAACTTGGCTTCGGTAACTTAAACTTACCTTCATTAAGAAGTTTGAAGCGACACCTTTCTTGTTTGGCGGAGGTGTTTTAATGTCAAAGTTCAAATGCACTTGAACGTGGTTGAACTGGTGCTGTTTGACGATGACGTGATGTGTTATTTTAACTTCCCACTTTTCAACGAACAGAATTCCTCGCTGTTTTATTATTACCTGCCACGAAGGATAGAATTTTGTCTTGGCAATTCACGAACTAGACTCGCTTTACTGAGAATAGGGTAACCTTGGAGCGGAGGAGTGATTTTCTTGCTTCTCGCAAATCATCCAAAACCTCAGTTAGTTCATCCATTAACAAGAGTGATGCGAACCTTATTGACCTACAAATGTTATTTTTTGTGGGAAAAATTCATATGCGTAAGCTCCAAACTTAAGGAACTAAAGCACCAAAACAAAGGATAAATACCTTCTTTATATTTTCCTCGTTTTCGTTTTTGAGATATGGGCACCAAATAGCAGATATAAAACCTTTTCCAAAGCTTACTTCAGCCAGACTTTTCTCGCAAGAACCTCGCAAGAAACTCTTTCTTCGCCGACATGAAGCTAGTCTCAAAATATTAGAAGACAAGGCATGCACGTGCAAGGTACCGATCAA